CCTCACCAGGGAGGGTCAGGACCACTTCCGCAAGCTATTTAGGCTCACGGGAAGAGGGGAGGAATACATGGTTTCCGGGATTTGTGGGAGCTCCTCTCCCCGCCATGCTGTCTCCGTCCACCTTTGAGTGCCACATTTATTAAACACGGGCATTTTAATTTGGCCTAATCTGGGTTGTTTTTTTTTTTTTTTTTTTTTTGGTTTTTCGAGACAGGGTTTCTCTGTAGCTTTGGAGCCTGTCCTGGAACTCACAGAGATCCGCCTGCCTCTGCTCCCCAAGTGCTGGGATTAAAGGCGTGTGCCACCACCGCCTGGCCTTGGCCTAATCTGGTTTAACTGGCGTTATTTGCGTAGGGAGAGTGGCTTTTCTTAAGATTAAAGCAAACACTGAGTTTTGAAAAATACATCAACAGTCTTGTGCCTACCATTATCAAAAAGGAAATGTTTCTGAGCACCTCTAAGAACTGTGCACCCAGTCACCGGGTTCTCGAGACCACATGTGCATTCTTATATTTTCTAACTTTTATATTCTATTTAATGTGCATGGCTTTTTGTCTACATGTCTGTCTGTACACCACTTGAGTGCCTGGGGTCTACAAAGGCTGGCAGAAAACTCTGCGGCCCCGTAACTGCATTTACAGACAGTTGTGACCACCATGTTGGTGCTAGAAATTGAACTTTTTTGTTTGATTGGTTTTTATTTTTGTATGTATGTATATATGTATTTCTTTATTTTGATATAGGGTTTCTTTGTACAGCCTTGGCTGTCCAGGAACTCACTCTATAGACCAGGCTGGCCTCAAACTCATAGAGATGCACCTGCCTCTGCTCCCCAAGTGCTGGGGTTATCTGCGTGTGCCAACACCTTTATTATTATATCTTTCATCTTCTCCAGATAATTTTTATGTTTTATTTTTCTTTATGTTATGTGTGTGTGTGTGTGTGTGTGTTGCGAATATTTCAGCCTGGGAGTGTGGGTTTACACGGATCTGAGAAATGAAAACTCAGACACGCATGCATCGAGAATGAATTTAGCCTTTGTAACTGCAGGGGGTTCAGTCTCAGTGAACTGAAGCACCTTCCCTTCTCCTCAGCATCTTTTTTTTTCTATATTTACACTTAGCTAGTCGATTCTCATATCTCAAAATAAACTAACAGAAGCTTCCAACAATACAAGGCCAGGTGCAAACACCTGATTCATGAGGTACCAAGGTTTTCCAGTTCCCTCTAAACCAAGTTTTGCATAGGCTTTGTGTCCATGGGAAACTCTCAGTCAAGATTCATAGGGGCAACAAGAGGTATTTGTAACAACACAAAGGAAGGCTGAGGGGCTGTGTCAGGTGTAACCCAGCGGGGTTTCCTGGCTAGTGCAGGTTGCTTGCTATCTCTCTGGCGCCAGACCAGCGGGACATTATACCACATGTGTGGGTGTTTTGCCTGTTTGTATGTCTGTGCACCCTTGCAGGCAGTGCCTGTGGAGGCCAGGTAAGGACATGTGATCCGAGGAACTTGAGTGACAGATGGTTGTGAGCGCTGGAAATCCAGAGGTAGTCCTCCCACTGAGTTCCCAGGGCTCTAATACTCATCTGTTTCCACCTCCCCGGGACTGGCATGATAAGATCAAGTCGGCAAGCCTGGCTGTTTAAAGTGGGTTCGAGGGAATAAAGCCAGGTTCTTAGTGCTTGTGCAGCAAGCACTTAGCTGACTGGACTCTCCGCAGCCTCCACTCTTGAGTGCTTTTATTTCTGTCAGACAGGCCCCTTTGCCCCCCGAAAACCCGGTCTCACTGTGTATCTGTGGCTGACCTGGAACTCACAGAGATCCACCTGCCTCTGCCTCCTGAATGTAGGGATTAAAGGTGTGCACCACTATGTCCACCTTGTAAAATAGACTTAAAATCATGTCAGATTTCTGGGGCTGGAGAGACAACTCAGCAAGTTAAAGAGCACTGGCTGCTCTTTCAGAAAGAAGACCTGGTTGATTCCTAACATTCACTGTAACTCCAGTTCCAGGCGCTCTGACGCCCTCTGCCTTCCCAGGGCACTTGTACACTCCCACAGGTACACACATAAAAGTGAAGACATCCTTTTTGTTTTCTTTGTATTGGTATGGGTGTTTTGCCTGCATGTATGTCTACACACCATGTTCATTCATTCCTGGTGCCCACGGAGGCCGAAGACAGCATTGGATCTCCGTGGGGCTGGAGTTAACAGACTGCTGTGAGCCTCCGCGTGGGTGCTGGGAAGTGAATCCAGGTCCTTTGGAAGAACAGCCAGTGTTTCTTACCACTTAGCCATCTCTTCAACCCAAATAAATAAATATTTAAAAAAAAAGCTCAAGCTGGGCGGTGGTGGCGCACGCCTTTAATCCCAGCACTCGGGAGGCAGAGGCAGGCGGATCTCTGTGAGTTCGATGCCAGCCTGGTCTACAAGAGCTAGTTCCAGGACAGGACCAAAAGCTACGGAGAAACCCTGTCTCGAAAAATCCAAAAAAAAAAAAAAGCTCAGATACATCCCTCTTTTCTTCATAACCTTCTTCCAGTGGCTTTTCTTTCTTACTAATGGACTGAGAAAGAAGACAGCAATCCCTGACATATGACATATATGCATCTTGACACAAACACACACACACACACACACACACACACACACACACACACACAGCTGCTTATTATATAGCTAAACTCAGTATTGACAGAATTTGCCCCTGGCTCTGAGCTAGATCAGTTCATTCTTCTGTTGGACAGAGACATCCCATAGAATACTAACACTGCAGAGATGAAAGCAATGAAATACCAAACAACCTCCTCTCTGCTAAACCACACTACCTCTGCTGCTTTGCCAGTCACAACCTTCTCGTCACCCAAGTGTGCCATCTTACAAGATCTTCACTGGTAAATTAGTCACGGAAACGACTCTGCTCCCGATACCACACATCCAGAATGAGCCTCTTTCCCTTACAGCTTCCACCAAGTGTCCAAATCCCATAACAGAATTGAACGCTTCAAATACCATCTCCCTGAGCTGTACCAATGTCCCTCACAAACCTGCTCCCTCACTGTAAGGAGCAATAAACCTAGTTTCTTAAATACAGCTATGTTCCAGCTTCTGGTTGCTAAGTCTCCTCAAGCCAGAATCCTGAAAATTATCTTTAGAAAGTCCCATAGCACAGTGACCGATTTGACCACCAAGGTTGGCTGAAACAGGCTGCCTGGCAGCTGGGAGCAGAGATCAGCAACAGAGCTAGGCACCTGATTTCTGTCCCCAGCATCCAAAACAAACCGCTTTCTCAGACTGTCCCTAGAGTTTCTGGTCAACTAAGTCTATATTGCTCATGTTCAATAAACTGATTTTAGTCATTTCTCAATGTATAAATATTTCAAGACACCATACAGTAAGGATATACACTTTTGTGTCAACAAATGAGTTCTCCCAAGTTCCCCTATTTGTTTTTTAAATAAATATTTGTTTTTATTTTATGTGTATGAGTGTTTCAGCTGCTTGTATGTGCACCATGCGAATGCCTGGTGTCTGAGGAGGCCAGAAGAGGACATCAGACCCCTGGAGCTGGAGATAGAGGTAGTTATGAGCTGCCTTGTGCGGGCTGAGAATAGAATCTTACTCCCTGTAAGAGCAGCAAGCTGCAGCAAACAGCTACACCATCTCTCCACTCCACCTGCACTGTTTAAATTATACATATATGTGTGTGTGTTGTATGATGTTTTATTCTTTTGGCTTTTGTTTTTTTGTTTTTCAAGACAGGGTTTCTCTGTAGCTTTGGAGCCTGACCTGGAACTAGCTCTTGTAGACTAGCCTGGCCTCGAACTCACAGAGATCCATCTGCCTCTGCCTCCTGAGTGCTGGGATTAAAGGCATGTGACACCACCACCCAGCTTTCTTTTGGCTTTTTTGAAGGATCTGCTACCCAGCTCCCAAATAAATGACACACACAGAAGTTTGTTCTTTGTTACGAATGCGTGGCTTTAGCTTGGCTTGTTTCTTGCCAGCTTTTCTTAACTTTCTTAAATTATTCTGACTACCTTTTGCCTCTGGGCTTTTATCTTTATCTATTTCTGTATACCTTTCTTTCCTTCTTAGTCTGTGACTGGCTGGGTGGCTGACTTGATATCCTCCCCTTTCCTTCTCTGCTCCTCCTTCTCTCTCTTTCCCAGATTTTGCCTTGAATTTATACTTTCTGCCTGCCAGCCCTGCCTACCCTTACTCCCGCCTCACTTTTGGCCATCCATCTCTTTATTAGAACCATCAGGTGTTCTAGACAGGCACAGTAACACAACTTCACAGAGTTAAACAAATGCAGCGTAAACAATAGTCACACACCTGAGAATAATATTCCCCAACATATATGTGTCTGCGCTCTTGAGTGCAGGTGCCCTGGGAGGCCAGAGGTGTCCCACAGGCCTGGAGCCAGAGTTACAATTGACATAACTTGCCCAGCCATCTCTCCAGCCTCAGGAATTTGCATTTCCAGCAAGTTACTGTGAGTGCACTATACCAGAAACAAAGATGGATTTTGCTAGCTATGAAGCCAGAGGAACCTCAGCCCGAGGACTCTCCCTCGGGTACAGCAGGGATCCTGACCCCTGCTGCACAAAGACTTTCAGGAAAAGTTAGAACGAAAAAGGCAGTTTATTTGGCAAAAATACAAAACACAACATGTTATGTTTAAGGAAGGTGGTCTATAAGACTAATTCTTAAACATGGTGGTATGCTTATTTCCTCACGGGATTCTTCTACGGTAAGTGATATTATAAGGGGATTTATGAGGTGTAATGTGTAGGCATGGATCAAAAGAATGAAAGCCATTTTGCAATGCATAGGTTTCACAAGGTTGATGTGTTCTGATTGACTGTAAGCATAGCTTACTAGCCATTTTAATAATCCTGTGATGCTTTCAGGAAAGAGAATTTCATTTTTGGTCAGTCATGTCAAAATTATTACTTTTTTAAATTTATTTTTACTTTACGTGTATGAGGGTTTTACCTGCAGGTGCCAGTGGGGGCCAGAAGAAGGCAACCGGAGCAGTAGACAGTTGGCATGTGGGTGCTGAGATCGAATTCATGTCCTCTGGAGGTGCACCAAGGGCTCCTGTCGAAAATTTTTTTTTGATTTTTCGAGACAGGGTTTCTCCGTAACTTTTGGTTCCTGTCCTGGAACTAGCTCTTGTAGACCAGGCTGGCCTTGAACTTACAGAGATCCGCCTGCCTCTGCCTCCCGAGTGCTGGGATTAAAGGCGTGTGCCACCACCGCCCGGCTTCGAAATTCTTTTTTTTTTTTTTTTTTTTAAGAAATTCTTGACTCTTCGTAGAAATTAACCAAATCCAGATAAATGAGGGGACTTTTTCCCTTACCCACGTCGTCTTGGCCTTTTCGGTCTTTTTTATCATCGGCCTCACTAGCTCAGTTATCTGAAGAGACTCCACTAGATTTCTCATCTACCCCTAACTACTCCAAAACTTTGATTTTGAACATCCAAATCCAGCTACAGTTTTTGGTTTTGATCGTCCGTCCCCTCCGGGCCCCACCGCTCGCATTCTGGGCTGAAATCAAGTCTTCCCGGAATTTGCTTGCACCTGTTTGCTCATGGGTTCTTCCTAGCTAAGTTTCCCTCAGGAAGCCAAGGTGTTTTTCCGCCTGGCAGGGCGCTGCGGTCCCCGGAGCTCCGGATTGTTTTCCATCTCCGGCTTTTGGTTTGGGCTCAAAACCCGCCGAGTCGCCCGGCTGGAAGGAGAGCTCGGGATTCCGGTCAACGCCCGGCTCTGAGCACCGCCCAGGCGTGCGTCCTGCGGGAATCGGCCAACTGGAAGGGGCGGGGACTGTCCTCTGCGGACTTTTGGGCCTCGGCGGCTTCCGTCCGCAGCAGGTTCGGGAGTAGCTGAGGACCGCGATTCTGCCGGCCATGGAGTTCGACTGTGAGGCCGTGAGGCGGCTGCTGGGCAAGGTGCAGGCGGGCGGGCGGCGGGCCGGGCGGGTCCCAGCGTCCTCGTCACATCACGCTGCCCCAGCTCACACCCTCCCTCGACGCCCTCCAACTCCCACCCATATCCTTTCCCCCCCCCCAAAATCGTTGTGTTGCTTTGACACATCGACTTATGCTGTTGCCCAGGCTGGCTGGGAAGTTGCAGCAGTCCCCCTGCCTCAGTCTTCGGGTGTGGGGTCAGAGGCTGGCGGCCCCTCGTCTCCCTTGAATGAGTCACTCCCTGCAGGTGACTGCTTGGGAAAGTCCCGATTATCACACTGTGGGAGCGATCGATTCTGCGCAGTGCTTCCTTCTGGACAGTCACTGACTGTGCTCTTGTTTCTGTGTTGCGCTCACCTAGGCTGTGGCCACAGCGTAGGCGCCCACGAGGAGAGATCGCCTCAGACAGCTTGACTGTAGAAAGGTGGAGGGCGGCCGGGCGGTGGTGGCGCACGCCTTTAATCCCAGCACTCGGGAGGCAGAGGCAGGCGGATCTCTGTGAGTTCGAGACCAGCCTGGTCTACAAGAGCTAGTTCCGGGACAGGCTCCAAAACCACAGAGAAACCCTGTCTCGAAAAACCAAAAAAAAAAAAAAAAAAAAAGAAAAGAAAAGAAAGAAAGGTGGAGGGCTCCCCCACCGTCAGGTCTCACCTGCATCCCAGAGGCCTGATGCTCGGCATTCCTGATTCCTGCCCACGGGCAGCCAGAGCCCTCTCGCTCAGAAGTTAGTTGGTCCTGAAGGTTCAGATTTCCGTTGAAACCAGATTTCTGGTTTTCTTGGATGTGGGGGTGTCTCTCTTTGTTGGGACACACTTTACATCTGTTAGAGTTTTCAAGCCTGGCGGTGGTGGCGCACGCCTTTAATTTCTGGAGACATAGGCAGGCAGATCTCTGTGAGTTCGAGGCCAGCCTGGTCTACAGGTCAGGCTCCAAAGCTACAGAGAAACTCTGTCTCAGAAAAAAACAAAACAAAAACCAAAAACCAAAAAACTTTGGTTCCCTAGTTACAATACTCTATTCCCTGATAAATCACCTTAAAACATAAATTTAAGGTGAATGTTATTAATTTTTACATGTAGCCAATGAGTTTGTGTGTGTGTGTGTTAGTGGGGATTGAACCTAAAGCCTTGTGCATACTAGGAAGGCACTCTATCACTATATTCTTAGCTACAACATTCCTTTTTTTACTTTTTATTTATTTTTTGTTTTGTTTTTTCGGGACAGGGTTTCTCTGTAGCTTTGGAGCCTGTCCTGAAACTAACCAGGCTGGCTTCGAACTCACAGAGTTCCTTTTTTTTTTTCCTTTTAAGTTTTCTTTATTATGTATAGATACACCAGAAGAGGACACCAGATCTCATTACAGATGGTTGTGAGCCACCATGTGGATGCTGGGAATTGAACTCAGGACCTCTGGAAGAGAAGCCAATGCTCTTCTTAACCTCTGAGCCATCTCTCCAGCTCCTCATTCCTTTTTTAAAAAGGTTTATTTTTATATTTACGTATGTGTATGTGTGTGCTTGTATATATACTACTTTCTGTATGGGTGCTTGTAGGAGGCCAAAGAGGGTATCAGGACCCCTGAACATGAAGTTTAGGAGGTTTGGGCTATTTAATGTGGGTGCTGGGAACTGAAGCCCAGGCCTTACGGAAGAAGTATTGTCAAATACTCTTAATCATCTCGCCAGCCTGTATACCTGTTTGTTTTGGGTTTTGACAGGGTTTCATCATGTAACCCAGGCTATCCTGGAACTCTTTATGTAAACTAAGCTGGCTCAAACTCACCATGATCTTCCTGCTCTGCCTCCCAAGTGCTGGGATCAAAGGCATTTTCCAACGCACCTGACTTGAGCATCTCTGTTTTCCCATGTAGCGGTATCTTCCCTATAGCAGTGCAGGCAGGTATGGGAAGTTTTGATTGCCCTGTATCCTCTCCAGCACTTACTATTGTCTCATTATGACTATGGCTTGTATCTTGATGATGTGGTGATCCCACCAACCTTTTTTGTTCACTTTCAAGATTATTTTAACTGTTCTAAGATAGCTGTTCCATGTTAGTTGAGGCTTGGAATTGAGATATGTGTGTGTGTTTCAGACAGAAACTAGGCCTCCTAGAGATGATAAGCAAATGTTTTATCATTCAGCTACATCTCCAGCCCAGTTTTCAGACTTTTGTTTAAAAACTCGGTTGGCTGGGCAGTGGTGGTGCACGTCTTTAATCCCAGCACTCGGGGAGGCAGAGGCAGGAGGATCTCTGTGAGTTTGAAGCCATCCTGGTCTACAAAGTGAGTTCCAGGATAACCAGAGCTGTTAGATGTAGAAACCCTGTCTCAAAACAAAACACACACACACACACACACACAACAAAACAAGCAGACAAAAAGCTCAGCTGAAGTTTCACTCAGGGATTTTGCTGAAGCTTTTGGGAAATATTACTATCTTGATGTTTTAGATCCACAAACACAGGGTATTTTCCCATTTAAAACAACTTTCCATTTTATTTCTTCCCAGTGTTATGTTTTCAACATCACTTTTGTACCTTTCTGAAGCTTTTCCCATGTATCTTTATTCTATTTCTAGTATGTTGATAGATTTCCTTCCTTTCATGTAATCCTCATTGCAAGTCTAGGGAGTGGGTATTATTTCTCTTTGCAGGGAAGAAAATGAGTTGAAAGAAGTTACACGATGTTGTCTGCAGGGTCACAAAGAAAGGCAGTGAGGGCAGTTCATCTACTTGTAGCAAACTCTTGTTGGTATTTCGTTTCCCCTTGAAACCCAGGATACAGGACTAGAGGTGGGAGGGAAAGTCAAGATGTCTCTGGTGACGGAGGCATTCAGAAGAGAGTTGGGGACGGACAGCTTGGTTAGACCCTGCCATAAGCGTGGCAGCCTTGACTTTGGTCCTGAATGGCGGCAGGAAGGAACCAACTCCTGCGAGTTGTCCTCTGCCCTCCACATGTCCACCCACACATATAGAACTACATTAAATCAATACATTAAAATGCAATTACACCTTTTTTTGTTAAAGTAGATGTTCAGTAGTGATGAGCGGTGCATCCCATAGGCTTCCGGGGTATTTGGAGACATATAGACTTAACTAATCAAGGCGTAGGTCTTGGGTTAAGCTTGGGGTTTACTACTTTACTTGGTGTCTGACTTAGCAAATTTCGTGGATTCTCTAGATTTTATTTTATAAAATAGAGCAGTTGTAAACTCTGCTTACTCCATAGCACCATGGTTTAAAAGAGCAGATTGGAAAGACTTGGTGGTGGACACCTACATTCCTAACCTTTGGGTGGCTGAGACAGGCAGATGGCCAGCTTGAGGCCAGCCTGAACTCTTAAGAGAGAGCCTGTCTCAGATTAATAATGAGCCAAATACTGGCGACCCCCACAGTGGTAAAGCCCTGCCCCGGGCCTGGCATCCAACAGGCGTTAGTCTTGTTCACACTTTTATTTTCATTCCTTGCTTGCTCCTCTCATTTCAGTACAAGTTCAGGGATCTGACGGTAGAAGAGCTGAAGAAAGTGAACATGTTTTTCCCGCACTTCAGATATTCCATGGACACCTACGGTACGGGTAGCATCCTCTAGTCCTTGCTGCATTATTTGGATTACTGATTATTTGGTCTGAAGAGCTTCCAAATTATGTTTCTTTTCTTTTTTAATCTCAAAACTTGCCATGTAGCCAGGGATAGCCTTGAACTTCTGATCCCCAGCCTCCATCTCCTGAGTGTTGGGATCACGGGCAGGCACCTTCGCTCTGTTTTCTTTGGTGATGGAGGTTGAAGCCAGGTCTTCATGATTACTACCCAAATATTCTACCAGATGAGCTATACTCCAGCACTTGAAGCAGGATCAGTATGTACCCCTGGCTAAGCTGACTTTGAGCCCATGGCAGTTCCATGTCTACCTCTCAAGTGCTGGGGTTACAAGTGTAGGACACCATGCCTGGCAAGGAACATGCCTCTTAAGAGGGGAAGGTGGGCTTTGAACTTGGATTTCAGTGTCCAAGTTTTATGTTTTTACACCTCTTTCTTACTTCTTTATTTATTTTTGCATAATTTATATGTGCAGTCACACACATTGATTGCTGTTCTCTCTTCTCACTGACATTTTGAAACTTTTTCTTCTAGTTTTCAAAGATACTTCCCAAAAAGACCTGCTGAACTTCACTGGTACTATTCCTGTGATGTATCAGGGTAAGTCCAGAAGCTGAGAGAATGTGGGACTTCTCAGCTCAATTCCTTAGTGCACACCACTGTTTTGACGTACTCCTGAGGTTTGTCTGGTCAGGACCTTAGCAGATCTGGCGGGATCCTGTATGTGTCAAAGAAGGCCTAGATCGATGTTAGTTCTGTTTAAGATATACTTGTTGAATACTGTCCACTAGGCTGGTGGGGTCTGACGACAGAAGGGAGCATGACAGGCGTGACGTTCACTAGGGAGAGAGGGCCTTGCTGTCAGTGGTGGAGTGCCAGAGGCCTGTGCTTTCCCATTGGCATCCGTGCTTGTCCCGCTCTGTCCTTCTCTGTTCTGTAGATAAAACTGAATCTCAGCCTGGTCACGGCCGTTGTCCTGCATTACTGGGCATTTTAGAGTTCAGTGACGCCTGAGATAGTAAGGATTTGCTCAAAAAGAAAGAAAAAGAAGTCATTAACAGTTTCTGTACTTAACTATTCCCTACCTGCTGTTCTGTTCAACAATGTAACCTTTGGTATAGTAGAAGATCAGCTACGGGATGCCATTAGAAAGATAGCAGCATAGCTCTGTTCAGAGCGGTTCCCTGAAGCAGGGCCCACAGTCCCACCATTCAGCATTTGTTGTTGCTGTGTGGGAAGCAGTACACTTGTAATCCTGGACCTAGGATGTGAGACAGTAGAGCCAAAAACCCCATCTCCAACAAAACAAAATGTCATTCATTCACAGTGCACCCAAGAGAGCACCGCCAGGAATGACTGATACACAGTAACTGATACTAGAAATTATCAGCAAGTGTTTCTCCTGGTGTGGTTTACTTGATTACTGACTGGAAGGGATGGGAATGAATGAACCTGATAGAAAGAGAAGAGAGCTTTGGGAGACCAATCAAATAGGAGAAAAAAAAATCTCTTAAGAAAGGGTTCAACATTGGACAGTGAGATTTTGGAAGACTTCTTTAAATACCAGGCATTTCCCCCTTGTTAATTCCTAGACCATCGTAAGCCTCCCTATTTCCTGTCTCCCCAGCCAGCTAGTGACTTTCCATAAATGTGCAGAGGCTTTTTTCTGCCTGCCATTGAAGATGAAAGCCTTGGCCATAGGCTCTGCCGAGGCTGCAGAGTGGGAGGTAGGACAGGCAGCGCTCATCTGCCCTTGCTTTCCTTCTCTCTTTCCTGTCAGGATCTCAGCCTGTTTGCTGCCTGTCAGAATGTCACTGGTGCCCGGGAGTCATTCCCTCCACTCTCTACTTTGCTTGGTTAGACATTAAGAAGAAAGGGAGTGAGGGAAAGAGATGGGGAAGGAAACTGATTCAAGTAATTTGTTTTGAGGCAAGAGAATAATTCTTAGTACTCTGCTGATTTTAATTTTATTATTTATAAAAGATTTATTTATTTATTTATTATGTATACAGTGTTCTCTCTGTCTGCCTGCACACCAGAAGAGGGCACCAGATCTCATCACAGATGGTTGTGAGCTACCATGTGATTGCTGGGAATTGAACTCAGGACCTCTGGAAGAGCAGCCAGAGAGCAACCAGTGCTCTTAACATCTGAGCCATCTCTCCAGCCCCTCAATTTTATCATTTTAATAGTCACTGTTTCGGGGTATTGTGGTTCCCCCTCGCAGAGCTGGGTTTCAGACTCCACACACCTCACATGCCAGCTTCTACCACTGTGCTGCATTCCACACCCCAGCCTCAAGAAGGGGTTAGCTTAATACTGCCAGCCCCATGCAGTGCTGATGCTCTGCGTGTGGTCACTGATCCCTGTGCCGTTTTCATCAGAGCAGTAAGACTGTTTGCAGTTCTTCCCCCACTCCAATACTGGAGCTCAAGCACTGGGCTTTACACACTTCACGAGTGGTTATTGCAGCTGCCACTTGGAAAGCTCTGCTCCAGGTTTGTCACCTTTGACCATAACTACCTTCTGGAGTATGGTGGTGTGTCTCTGTACTTGTCACTCACTTTGTGGTCTGTGGTCACATGGTTTTGTAATCATAGGATTCTCTCTGGGCCAACAGATAGGGGTATGCCCATACCCACCTTGTAAATACTTAGGTAAAAATAAAGGGATGGTTCTGAGAAAGACCAATATAAAACTGGTAGATTGCCAGGTTTTAACATGTCTGTAGTGTGTTCGTTGCAGTCCTGGATGCACATTAGCATGGCAAGGGAAGATTTTAAGAAATGTTGTCTAGGCCGGGTGATGATGGCACACGCCTTTAATCCCAGCGTTGTCTATATCCTGTTGGGTTGCATCAGAATGGTGAGGGAGATGGGCAAAGTGCTTTACGTGTTTATAAAATACATAGTCATGCTGAGTGTTGTGCTTAGAGGGGAGGAAACAAGATGAGAAAAGTAGCTTTTACCTGAAAGAAGGTTTCCATAGTATGGAACAGATTACCGTGAAGTGGTTTAAAAGAACAGCTCACAGTGTTTGTCATGTCGTGCACTGTAACAGGCATCTTACATACATGGACTTCATCCCAACAGTGCCATGAAATAAGAACAAGTATTACTGTCATTTTACAGAGGAAAGGATGGAGGCAGAAAGAAGCTAAGTATCTTGGGTGAAGTCACACGGCTAGTATGTTGAAGCAGGAATCCTGGTCCCGAGCAGAATGCTCTCAATACAGTGTAAGGCATAGACTGTGAAGCAGAATGCTCCCAATGCAGTGTAAGGCATAGACTGTGAAGCAGGAATGATTGTTAAGGACAGAATAATTAAATTTTAGATGTCTGGTCAAAAGTTTAGTTTTCACTTAACATTGGATTTAGCTTTGGGCTTCATGGCAACCAAGGCAGGCACTGATTCTCGGAAGGTATGACCTACATGGTTAAAATCAGAAGAGCATGCAGTCATGTCTCTCTCTTCCTCCAAAGTGGTTTATTTTGTGGTAAAGGGTTAACAGAACCTCACATGGGCTGAGGAACTCCCAGAGTTGTGGTAAGAGCACCTGGCTGACACTAAAGTCGAGTAATGAGAAGCCTGCAGGCAGCCAGGAGTGGACTGATAAGATCAGGCCATGAGAACAACATCCACTGGCAGTACTTGGCCCCAAGACTACAAAGAACAGGCCGACTAATAAAAATGTCTACCCTCAAAGTTCCTTTGTCAAGCCCCTGTGTCTGGGCACAGTCCCTATTCCCACAGAGAGATGGCTGTCCCTCCTTTATTGTTCTAGATAAAGGAAAATTGCCTCTGTTTAGGTTGGTCTCTTATTTTTCATGTGGCCTTGATCAGTCCTGATCTAACATAATTGCAGTGCTGGCATTTGAACCCAGGGCCTCACACACCAGGCAGATGATCTGCTGATTTAGACCCATTGACTCATCTTTGACCTGTTATCATAAGCCTGTGTCTTTTCCTGAAAAGAATTTGGAGCGCTTCTAAAGAATAGTGTTTGTAAAAGACTCATGTACCATTGGGTGCGGGTGTGGGTGTTGTTCAGAACCCTGTCCCCCCTCTCACTTTTGGAGTGTAGGTGTATGTTGACTTGTTGAAAATGCAGAGGGTTGGGGTTGGAGAAATAGCTCAGAGGTTAAAAGCATTGACTGTTCCTCCAGAGGTCCTGAGTTCAATTCCCAGCAACCACATACTGACTCCCAACCATCTGTAATGAAATCTGGTGCGCTCTTCTGACTGCAGGAAAGCATGCAGACAGAGCACTGTATACATAATAAATAAAGAAAAAGAAAATGCAGAGAGCGTTTTGGCCCTCCCCTCCCTCCCTCAGTTCTGGAATCTGCATGGTTTCAGTTTCGTGCAGCCTTCTGACATGCTCTACAATTTAAGGGTCACTAAGGAAAGGTGGCTCAGCTTCTCCTCTAAGTTCTGTGTGTCTAGCTCAGCTCATGGTTCACAGCAGCTGTAATTACTGAGCTGCTTGAGGACAAGTACCTGAACTGCAGTCGGCTTGTTTGTCCTTTCTTACCTATATGACAGACTTATTTTGCAGCTGGCATAGTACCTATGAGGTCATGCTAGGGATAGAGAAACGAATGAGAGAGAATCCACAGTAGAAAGGCAGGCTGGGTAAGCAAATGATTTCAGGGTAGAACAGATAGAAAAGTAGAGAGGCGACGGTGTCTCTGCTTGGGACGAGCAGAGGAAACTACCCCAGAAAGATTTTGTGTCCCAAGCTTACAGTGCAGCACGTCCTGTCAGTTGCTTCTGAACTGAAGAGTTGGCCACTGTCGGCTTTTCTCTGTTATTCTGGTGCTGTAGTGAGACCCTTTTCCCAATGTAGAGAAAAGGAAAAGCAGGGTGATTTACATCCATCCTTTACATACCGTAGGCTTGGCTACTCTTTCTTCCTTTATCTCTGTACTTGGGACTGAACGCAGGGCCTCACGCACACTAGCCAAAACTCTACTTGTTAACTCCATCTCAGCCCCTTTTTTATATTGAGGCAGGGTCTTGATGCTGTCTAGACTGAGTTCAAACTCAGTCTTCCTGGAACCTCAGCATCCTGAGGTTGAATTATAAGCTCTTACCACTGTGCCTGGCTGCCTGTTTCTAAAATACCATCTAGTGGCATTGTACATGCATACATATGTGTCATGATTGTTTATATGTCTCCAACAGGTAATACGTACAACATACCCATTCGCTTCTGGATTTTGGATTCTCACCCTTTTGCTCCACCCATTTGCTTCTTGAAGCCAACTGCAAACATGGAAATCTCAGTTGGAAAACATGTGGACGCCAAAGGCAGAATATACTTGCCCTATCTCCAAAACTGGAGCCATGTAAGATCAGATTGGATTTTCTTTAAGTTATCTTTTCTGAATGTCTGTCTTTGATCTTGGTAGTATAAGTAAGCATACTGCATCTTCCTTCCTTTCTTTTTATTGTTGTTTTGTTTTTGAGTCAGGGTCTACTATGTAAACTGACCTTGAACTCAGAGAGCTGCTGCTTCTGCCTCCCTATGTGCCACCACACCGGAATAATCTTTCAATTACATTCTTCATGTGATCTTTAGAAAGAATTTGAAATTGAGCTCTCTTGAGTCTCTGACGTTACCAAAACACTGATGACATCAGCCTGTATCCCCGCCTTCTCCAGGTCAGGGAGCCAGCTGATGTTGTTCTTTGTTTTATTCTCATTTGCCACTTGAGGGGATACACGAAAAGCTACTAGCACAATACTGGAACACTATTTCCTAGTTTCTGCCTATTAATAATTCTTACGCTATATAATTCTTATGTAGATGTGTGTAATATGTATAATTTTACCTGCTTTTTTAACTATGTGTAAGTTCATCATACTCTATGTAATCTGTAATGTGCTTTGTTTAACTGACTGAGTGTATGCGTGTGCATGCATGCGTGCGTGTATGTGTGTGTGTGTGTGTGTGCGTGAAAGAGAGAGACAGAGGAACCTAGGGCCTGAAGTTTGGTAGGCAAGCATTCTGCTGCTGAGTTTTGTCCGTGTTGGTCTTGGCACAGCCTTGAACTGTGACCCTTCTGCCCTTCTGCCCTTACCTCTGAAACAGCTGTGATTATGGTTCTGTCCTCCAGGCCTTACTAAGGTTTTCATTTTGCAGTGCTAAGGATTGAACCTCAGGCCTTGCTCATACCAGACAAACACTGTACTGCTCAGTTACACCCCAGCCTGGCATTCCGTCACTTTTTTAAAAAGTTCAGTTTTATATATTTACGGCACGTGTTTGTGTGTGCACATATGCATGCGTATGTGACGTGGCACTCATGTAGAAGTCAGAGGACAGCTTGTGGAAGTCAGTTTATTGTCATGTGAGCTGCAGAGGTCAAACTCATGCTGTCAAGCTTAGCAGCAGGTTCCTTTACCTGCCAAGCCATCTCGCTGACCCTTTCTGTCCCTTTGTTTGTTTTGAGACAGGGTCTCACACTGAGCCCAGAATTCTCTGACTGGCTCGACAGACCTGCCATCAAGCTCTAGATATTCGCCTGCTCTAGGGTTCCAGCCACACACTGTCATATTAGCTTTAACTGGTTGCTGAGGATCTGATCAGGTCCCCATTCTTGCACTGCAGGCACTTTGTCGACTGAGCCGTTTCCTCAGCCCTGTTTCTTTGTTGAATTACCTACCTTACCTTTCTTTAAACTATCTTCAAAATATGTATTGATATCTGTGCCCTCTTTAAGATTTATTTTATGGGGGCTGGAGAAATGACTCAGAGGTTAAGAGTACCAGCTGCCATTCCAAAGGATCTAGGTTCAATTCCCAGCACCCACATGACAGCTCACAAGTGCTTATAACTCTAGTTCCAGGGGATCTGACTCCCTCACACAAAGAAACATATAGGTAAAACACCAATGCACATGAAAATAAATAAATTTAAAAGATTTATTTTATATATATGAATGTTTACCTGCATATATGTATGTGAATCATATGCGTGCCTGATGCCCATGGAAGCCAGAACTGGGCATCAGATCCCCTGGAACTGGAGTGATAGGCAGTTGGGCGAACCCCAGTCTCCTGAAAGAGCAACCAGTATTGTAACTGCTGAGCCATTACTCCAGCCCTTCCTTCTTTCTTTTGTAAGGAAATGCACAATAAATGCATTAGGATATAGGCATAGGGATAAAGTGTTGTGTCCCAACCTGGATGGCGGATAAATACTATTGCAGCTTTTCTATTAGTTTGAAATGACTTCAAAATAAAAAGTTTCAACCCTGTGTATTCTGCTACAGAGTATGTTTATCCTGTTTTCCTACATTTGGAAGATGTTGGTTTAGCATTTTCCTGCTTGTATTGTACAGCTATGTGGAATATTTTCCATGAGATTTCCAAGAAAGTTACTTATTGTATGACAGAGTTTGTTTGTACTTTTCAGTTAAGAATATTAAAACAAACCAGGCAGTGGTAGTGCACGCCTCTATTCCCAGCACTGGGGAGGCAGAGGCAGGCGGATCTCTGGGAGTTTGAGGCCAGCCTAGTCTACAGAGCGAGTTCCAGGACAGCCAAAGCTATGGTGCCATTTACATGTAACAACAGTATGAACAAATATGCAATATTAAAGCTGCATAAAGTGAATTATACCATGTAGAGTATTGTTATACCATTGAGGCCTCCTTCTGTTTCCATCATGCGAAGTTTCTCATGATTCTCTGATTATTTAAAATTCTGCATAATACTAAAAATGACATGGGATGGCTGCCATGCATTGTTATATAGTAGATAGAGCTTACAAGGCATGTGCTTCTTTTGTTATTGGTAAGGGGTGTAGCTCAGTGTAAAGTGCTTGCCTAGCACACACAAGGCTATGAGTTCAGTTCCCAGCACTGCTGAAGAAAGAAAACAGGCAGGGGTTGTAGTGAAGACGAAGAGCAGGCTCCAGAAGACATCTGGGGAGTCAGTATATGCAGGTCTTCAGCTGTGCATTGTTCAAGGACCGCCTTGCGGAAGACAATATAAAACTAGTATTCTTTAGAAAAACAATGTTGTGTAACTGTCCCCTTTGCCTGTATTCTTCAGCCTAAGTCTGTCATTGTTGGATTAATTAAAGAAATGATCGCCAAGTTTCAAGAGGAACTTCCTCTCTATTCGGTGCCATCATCCAACGAAGCACAGCAGGTCGACTTGCTAGCCTATATTGCAAAAATCACTGAAGGTTTGTACTGTCAGTTAGATCACCTATGGGTTAAGAAATTAGAATTTCTCACTAATATTCTGTACTGTTGCTACTTAAATTCAATAAATAAATATAAGAATATGTATATATATATGTTTAATAAAAATTTCTCTATATAGTTCCAAATAAAATTTGTTAAAATATAAAAATGTTACTCTTACATGGACAAATACAATAGTTCTTGCTTTATTCAGAGCCCCTTATAAATTAATTATCCAAACCTTGATCATTTCATGTTTCTGTAGCTTTGACTTATTAAGTATATGAGTCCAGAGGTATATAAGTCGAAGTTTCTTATTGGTGCTAAAACCAAATATTCATGCCTAGAAATTTTCAGTAGAATTTTTGTGAATATTGAGCTCAAAGATCATTGTTGAGTGTCTTCCTCAATCTTCTCCTGGCATATAACAATTATGCATGATGGTTTCAGTGTGACATTTCCATACATGCTCACAGTGTGTCTCTGGCCTGTTCTCCCTGTACATACATGCTTACAGTGTGTCTCTGGCCTGTTCACCCTGTACCCTTCCCTTGTGCTTTCCCACACTTTTTTTAATGATTCATTTTTATTTTTTATATACATTGGTGTTTGGCTTACACGTATGTCTGTGTGAGGGTGTTGGATTCCCCTGGAACTGGAGTTATAGACAGTTGTGAGCTGCCATGTGGGTGCTAGGAATTGAACCCAGGCCTTCTGGAAAAGCATCCTGTAATCTTTCCAGCCCCAAATAAAAAGTTTTTTTTTTTAAATTTTATTTATCTATTTATTATGTATACAACATTCTGCCTCCATGTGTGCCCGCATGCCAGAAGAGGGCACCAGATCTCATTACAGATGGTTATGAGCCATCATGTGGTTGCTGGGAATTGAACTCAGGACCTCTGGTAGAGCAGCCAATGCTCTTAACCATTGAGCCATCCCTCCAGCCCCCAAATAAAAAGTTTTTAAATGTTTGCTGGGTGGTGGCGGCACACACCTTTAATCCCAGCACTTGGGAGGCAGAGGCAGGTGGATCTCTGTAAGTTTGAGGCTAACTTAGTCTGCAGAGCGAGTGCCAGGACAGGCTCCAGAGCTACATATAGAAACCCTGTCTCAAGAAACAAAACAAAACAAAAAAAAGTTTTAAATGTTTATAATACTGTCTTTAAAAAGAACTCTATGTAAAAGAACATTCAGTAGAAGACCACTGTTTTTCCTGGGACAGGGGAGACCGGATCTCAGGTAATTCTGACTGGCCTCAAATTATGTGCAGCTGAAGATCACATTGAACTCCTGACCTTTCTGCCTTCTCTCAACACTGGGATTCCAGGCGTGTGCAGAAGTGCCCAGCCTCTTGCTCCTTAGACTAGGTGTCACTGTGTAGCCCAGGCACTGCCTCAGTCTCCTGGTTGCTGGGATTATGGACTGAGCTGCCATGCTTGGTTTCAGTCTCCTGTCCTTGCCTTCATTAGTTCAGCAAGTTGGTTGGGTTTTGTTGTTGTTTTATTAATCTATAGAATCTCTATCAGAGCTTTTTCTTTTTTTAAGTTTTATTTTTAAAAAGATGCTAGAAAGGGTTTTTTTTTTGAGGGGGGGGGTAGGGGAACAAGGTCATGCGTGTGACTCAACTTCCGGTCCTTCTCCCTTATCTTCTTGAGTGTTGGGATTTTAAATGTGTGCCATCTCACCAAGATAGGATAGATATGAAATATTTTCTCTGATTTGTCAAATACAAATGGACTAGACATTGTTGATATATTTATTGCCTGTATATATTGTATATAGTCATTGTACTTGTTGTATATAGTTTTCTTATATTATTTATAGCCTTTTTATTTTAGACAAAAAGGGAAAATGTAGTGGCATTTCAATTGTAGTTTAATAAATAAAGACATTTACAAAATAAAGTTTTTAATATTATTTTTTTAATTCTCAGGATGATCTTTTTTATTTCGTAGGTGTCTCAGACATAAATTCAAGGGGCTGGACAAATCATGAGACTAAGATAGCGAATAAAATCACTGTGGTCGGAAGTGGAGATTTGGGTATTGCCTGCACAATGGCAATTTCAGCAAAGGTATGTAAACCTAGTTGCTGGAAGTATATCTGTACTTTCATTGGACTTTAATTTTCTTTTTTCATTGTTCACGTCTATGAGTATTGCACATGTGTGTATGCATTCTTGGCGTGCGTGAGTACGCGTGGGTATGTGGGACCTGGAGGTGATGTTGGGATCACCCTCAATTGGTCTGCCACTTCATGCATCAAGGCAGGATCTTCCAGTCAGACACAGCTGGACAGTGGGACTAGTCTCCCCAGCCAGTTTACTCTGGAACCCCGGCTCTGCCATCTGAGGCCGCAATTGGCATGTGGGCTGCCATCCCCTTCCCGCATTTATTTGTGTGGGCTTCTGGGGATCAGAACCTATAGTCTAGATCATTACCAGGGTTTTGCTGTGCAACCTAACCTACTCTTAAATAGTCTCCTTTCTCAGCCTTCTGAGTGCTGAGATTACAAACATTGACAGCTGATATAGGATTCCCCTCTGTATGCAATGAGTATGTTTTATTGCCATTGGTTAATAAAGAAGTTGCTCTCTGCCAGTGACTTAACAGAGTAAAGCCAGGCAAAAAATCCAAATAGAGATGTTGAGAGAGAGTAGGCGGAGTCAGAGAGATGCTGCTGTGTAGCCTCAAAGGAGAAAGACACAAGCCGCCAGCCAGAACCTTACTGGAGGTAAAATACAAAATAATAGAAATGATTTAATTTTAATTTAAGATGTAAGATCTAGTCAATAAGAAACTAGAGCTAATAAGTCAAGCAGTAATTTATTTAATATCGTTTCTATGTGATTATTTTGGGTCTGGGCAGCTGGGAAACGAACAAGCAGCCTCTGCCCACGGACAGCCACACCTGGCTTTCAGAGTGTGGCTTTAAGAGTGGTAACACTGGCATCTCCTAAGAATTGGTTAGGAGTTCATATAGTCTTCTGCTAAATCTCCATTCTACCGCAGCCTGGTGATGAGTGCTTCACAGGTGACTTAGTGGTCTGGTAGCCTGAGCCCTCTTCCAGAATCCTGAACTGAAGTGCTTCTTATCTCGTTTGAAGTGAATGCTTGGGTTGGTTTCCATCTTGAAGATCTAAACACATCATGTCATTTTTCACATGTACTAGTACATTTATAGGATAACTTCTGTAAATGAGACTAGCAGATTAATTTATTAATTTTTTCTTTTTTTTGATTTTTCAAGACAGGGTTTCTCTGTAGCTTTGGAGCCTGTCCTGGAACTAGCTCTTGTAGACCAGGCTGGCCTCAAACTCGCAGAGATCCGCCTGCCTCTGCCTCCAGAGTACTGGGATTAAAGGTGTGCATCACCACCGCCCGGCAATTTTTTTGTTTTTGTTTTTTTTTTTTTGTTTTTTTCGAGACAGGGTTTCTCTGTGGTTTTGGAGCCTGTCCTGGAACTAGCTCTTGTAGACCAGGCTGGTCTCGAACTCACAGAGATCCGCCTGCCTCTGCCTCCCGAGTGCTGGGATTAAAGGCGTGCGCCACCACCGCCCGGCCGCCCGGCCGCCCGGCAATTTTTGAATTTTTAAAATGTTTTAAATTGTTGATAGAAATTGTTAATTGAGTTGAGCACAAGGGACGCGTGCCTTTAATCCCAGCACTCCTGGGCAGAGGCAGAAAAGTCTCTGCGGTCAAGGCCAGCCTGGTCTACACAGAGAGTTCCAGGACAACTAGGACTACACAGAGAAACCCTCTCGATTAAGAGAGGGGAGGAAAAAGGAGAGAAATTGTCCACTATGTCAGTTGTATTAATTATTCTCACACGTTTGGATCTGTGTGTGGACTAAATGAAGATGGAAACATACACTTTCTTTGCATTTTCCTTGTGAGGTTCACAATAATAAGATCATAGCTGTGCTTTAGGAAGGACTACCATGGCTGGCCCTGTGCCATATACTTAATCTCACAAACACCTAAAATAAGGCTAAGGCCGGTGCGGTGCGCGTAGTTACCAGGTAATAAATGGAGTGCTTCTTAGGCCCCTGGGTGTCTCGAGACCTAAGGGCTCCCACTCCCCCACACTCCTGTCACTGACTTGCTGTCACTTCCAGTCTACCCACCGTACTGCCCAGGGAGCCATCCTTGGTGAAAATACTGCGTGATAGCAGGATTTGATTTGTGGTGTGCTCTCTCGCTCTCTCTTATATTTATTTATCTCTACATAGAAAGTGTTTGTTTGTTTATTTGTTTTGAAGAACCTGGCAAGAATTTTTACTTTTAAGCAGGGAAAGGTAAGCTAGAATAGACACCCCCCACCCAAAATCATTTTAGACTGTTTAAGAATAGGTACTAAGCTAGGTGTGGTAGTGCACACCTTTAATCCAGCACCTAGGAGGCAGAAGCAGGACGATCTCTGTGAGTTCAAGGTCAGCCTGGACTATAAGCAGCCAGAACTGCTAAGGCTACACAGAGAAACCAAGTCTCAGAAAAACCTAAAAAAGAAAGAACAATAACAACAGATACTATGGCATTAAAAATCAAAACTCAAGAGGAACAGTAGCATGCCTACCATATCCCCTTTGTCATTCATTCAAAAAGAAGATACAGTTTGCCTCCTGAGTAAGCCCTGTTAGGTCCCGGGGTTTAGTAGTCAAGCCTGAAGGGTAGTGTCACCTGCACAGTGTGCACATCTTCTGTATTGCTATTTTGTTTCTTTTCTTTCTCAAGTAGTGCAGGAGTCCTCATTTCTCAGTGAGTTCATATTGAGTAACTGGCTATATTGGTAGAACATTGTTCTTGTTCTAATTTTTCCACACAGGGCATTGCAGACAAGCTGCTCCTTTTAGACCTCTCTGATGGGACTAACCAAGGAACGATGGACCTTGATATCTTCAACCTGCCTAATGTAGAGATCAGCAAAGGTTTGATTATTCTATTTAAAGATCGTTATGGGGGCTGGAGAGAGGGCTCAGAGCTAAGAGCACTGACTGCTTTTCCAGAGATTCTGAGTTCAATTCCCAGCACCTACACGGTGGCTCACAACCATCTGTAACAGTGTCTGATGACCCCTTCTGGTCTCCAGAAATACATGTGGTCAGAGCACTCGTACATAAGAAAAGTAAGTTCAGTTTCTCAGCTGTAACCGGGAATGTACTGTCTGCCGTGGTGCACAGGAGACGTCTAAGCCAAGACTAACAAAAGAGGCTCAGTTCACTTTGATTGTGCTCAAACTATTCTTACCATGAGCTCTAATGAGAACAGATTTAAAAATGCTATTTTAGGCAGTCAGGGGTATCTATCATACTTATCTATCTTATCTGAGGCCCTGGATTCAATCCCACACCCTCAGAAAGAGGAAGAAAATGAAAAGGAGTTTTTGCCATCTAACCCTTTTTGTGTGTATGAGCCTCAGTCTTGCTGTTTCCCTGCTGCCCTCCTGCCTCTCCCATTCAGTGTTAACTATAGGCACCTGCCACCAAGGCCAGGCTTCTGCCTTTTCAAAAAAAGCGTCATTTTAGAGTGTATGTGACATCATGTTAGTACAGATATACTTATCTAGATAAATACCATATTTAGGGATTGCTGGTTTTAAAATATTTTACCAGGAATGCATAGTTTTAAAAACAAGCCCACCTATGGGCTGGAGAGATGGCTCAGTGGTTAAGAGCATTGCCTGCTCTTCCAAAGGTCCTGAGTTCAATTCCCAGCAACCACATGGTGGCTCACAACCATCTATAATAAGGTCTGGTGCCCTCTTCTGGCCTGCAGACATACACACAGACAGAATATTGTATACATAATAAATAAATAAATATTAAAAAAAAAAACAAAAACAAGCCCACCAAGCCTGGGAGCTGGCTCAGTGGATAAGAGCACATACTGCTGTTGCAGAGGACCCAAGTCTGGTTCCTAGCACGCAGGTGAGGCAGCTCACAACTGCCTATAACTCTAGTTCTAGGGGTTCCAACAGCTTCCATGAGCACCCATATGCGTGGCACCCACACACAGATGTATGACACTAAAAATAAATTTTAAAAATCAAAATATATTAAAAAACAAATCTGTGAATGAATGTGTCCTCTAAAACATGTTTACCAGTTTATAGAGAAGACCATTTTATACATGCCGCCACAGTGCTGTGGGCTTCTTTTGTCTTTGCTTAGGTCTCCTCCGTTCCTTGCCTGCTTTCCAAATGCTGTGTAAAGCAGTTACACAGCTAAGATGCACTGAGTGTGGTGGTGGTGGGGGGTTGACTTGCCTGTCTGTTCTAAAAATAGTACGTCACGGTTCAATAGGCCGGCAATCCCTGGAGGAGACAGTTGGCTCCTGTTCCTCCTCTGAGAGAGCACTGTAGTTCTTTTAATGGCCGCGTGAGGCTCCTTGGGGAGCTGGATACTCTCTTGTTCCAGGCCCTGAGGTTCTTAAGGGACCTGTTAACTGTTCAGATCCTGTAAGAGAGACTGTTTAGTCCCCAACCCTAGAGGAAGAGACTGATTAAGACCTAAGGAAATCCCTCTTTCCTGTGCGTCTCGTTAGCCATTGGTAACTGGTGAAATGATTCAAAAAGCAGAATCTTTGGGAGAAATGTTCAGTACATGGGACTTGCCACCAAGCAAGGACTCAGAATTACCCATGAGGATAAGGCCATTTTTATCATTCAGATCCAAAGGAGGAAAAGGAGGAAGATTCTGGAAAATTGGATTGAAGCCAAGGTGTGGTGTAACTTGAACTGGTCACTGGTTTTTGATGCTCTGAACAAGCTTCCTAACCTCTCCCAGTACCATTTTCCCTTGAGGGGTGGGGGTTAATAGCATAGAGTCTGAAAGCAGACTGCCGGGGCCTGAATTCCAGCCCCTCTGCTGACTTACCCAAGCCCTTCACTTCTCTGCTTAGTCCTCCCGCTCTCCCAGGACTGGAGCACAGTCACTTGGAAGGAATCCTGAAGCTCCCAGGCTCAGTACAGAAGCCAGTGGTTGCTCATTTTACCTACAGCATACTACTCATTTCCCCTTTAAGAGCTGTGAGTCACAAAGAAAACTCAGTCTTTGTGTACTGGTGCTGGCTCTTTCCAACTTCCTGCCTGTCTTGTTATGTATCCTAGGCTGGTCTCCACCTTGAAGCCATTCTGCTTCTACCTCCCGAGTGCTGGATCGCAGCTATGTACCACCGTGCTTGGCCCTGGGATCCAGGCTGTTGCTCTTCAGTGTTCTGACTGACAGCTGTAGGGGCATGTATGCCTGAAGGCTCTCTGTTCACAGACTGGAGAAACATTTTATCATGTACAAGCATTAGTGTAGACTATCTTGAACTCAGACTGTTTCTTTTTGTTCATCAGATTTGTCTGCCTCTGCTCATTCCAAGGTGGTGATCTTCACAGCCAACTCTTTGGGTGGTTCTGAATCCTACCTTCATGCCGTGCAAAGCAATGTAGACATGTTCAGAGCTCTTGTCCCGGCTCTGGGACATTACAGTCAACATGCTGTCCTGCTTGTTGCATCTCAACCAGGTAAAGGCTTTATTTAAATTCAAACGATGTTCCTGATCATCAGCTATAGTTGCCGTTGCTGGTTTTAAAAAGCCAAAGCAGTGTTATATAAAGGAATCTTTAGTAAGACTGCTCTTTCAAGGGTCAGTACAACCATATGCCGTCACCAGTTACTCCTTGTAACTGTATCACCAAGATTACAGATCACAGCTTTTCATGAAATATTGCCGGGAGACCAGCTCTCAGCAGGTCAGAGAAACTGGAGCGGAGGTGCGGCATTGACGAAACTGCATACACACATAGGACACTTCTCTGAGGGTCAAACCTTAGTTCTTGATTTTGTTGTTTTCTTTCTGCTGCTTGTTCTGTATTTTCTCCTTATCCCTTCTATACCACCTAAAACAAATATTTCTATGCAAGGAAAGATTACTTCATAACCACAAGTTACATATTTTCCAAACACAAATTAAAATCTTTACACAGGGCTGGAGAGATGGCTCAGTGGTTAAGAGCATTGCCTGCTCTTCCAAAGGTCCTGAGTTCAATTCCTGGCAATCACATGGTGGCTCACAACCATCTGTAAAGAGGTCTGGTGCCCTCTTCTGGTTTGTAGACATGCACACAGTCAGAATATTGTATACATAATAAATAAATAAATAAATAAATAAATATTTTTAAAAAAATAAAATCTTTACACAAGAAGGAATCACATTAAGATCACAAGTTACGTGTTTTTCTTAGAAGCCCACATAGAGTTAAACGTTTTCTTTGTACTAATTTTCCCATCATAACATCTTCACCCCAGAGCCATGGTTAAACTTGCAGCAGGCCAAGCGTGCTTCAGCCGGTTCCTCTTGTCCTGGCAGGTGGCTGTGTGCAGTTTCCAGGGAGCAAATTCTTTGTTTGTTTTTCCCAGTGTGGTCGTGGCTGTCCTGGCACTAGCTCTGTAGACCAGGCTAGACTCGAACTCACAGAGATCTGCCTGCCTCTGCCTCCCAAGTGCTGGGATTAAAGGTGTGCGCCACCACCAACTGTAAATTCTTATCCTATAAAAAAACTTGACTCAAGTGATCTAGCTAACCATCATTTTTCTTTGTTCTTTACACACACTTGGGTCATTTAATTTCCTTTCACAATTTTGTTTTTTCCAAGGTGCATACCAAAACCTGTGATTAATTCTGTAAGCTACTTGACCAGGGAACTCGGGCCTAGCCTTGGGTGTGGGGACGTAATTGCTAATTGCTGTCTTTAGTCATCAATCTGTTTTCCACAGGCAGAATTCATGGGTCTATAATGCATGAAACTTCCTTGTTCTTTGTTTTCATTTCCTGAAAATCTCACATCTAACCAAGAAAGGTAACTTCTAGCCTGGTTTTGCCTTTTTTGTATCTTTTATTGGAGCACTTAGGCAGAATAGCCTAAACCATTTCTTTCTTTTTTTTTAAATTTTATTTATTTATTATGTATACAACATTCTGCCTCCATGTATGCCCACATGCCAGAAGAGGGCACCAGATCTCATTACAGATGGCTGTGAGCCACCATGTGGTTGCTGGGAATTGAACTCAGGTCCTCTGGAAGAACAGCCAGTGCTCTTAACCACTGAGCCATTTCTCCAACCCCTAAACCATTTCTTTAGTTAGCTTTATCAACTGTCCCATAAAAGACACTAACTATATCTTTTAGGCTGACTCAAAAAGTTTAATTAAATGATAGATTCAGCTAAGCATCATTGCTCTTATAAAAGTCATCTTCATCATGGTGTGTAATTAAATTGCCCAGTGAAGAGTGGGGTTTTCCCATGAAACAATCACAGTGGGATCCTTTTACACAGTAAATAACCATGCCAAATACAGCAGAACAGCAGCAGCAAGGGGCATTCTAGGGACAGTTCGCCTCCCCCGGGCTTTGCTTCTCCAGGGTTTATTTGTTGTAACTTTGCTGTTCAGTGAATTGAACTCAAAATGCTCCATTGCTGGCTACAGCTCCTCTGATGTGGCCACTGACAAAATGTAGTATTATTTTCCAGTTGTTAGCCATACCTCCTTCAGTGAGAAAATGGTGAAAATCCCCAAGAGAAACATGTAGTAAGAACTTGAGTCTCTGGTGTTGCAAAGATGTTAGGAAGCACATTGCACATCCAAAGAAACATCTTTTCTTGATTTTTCTCTGTGAATGTGTGCACACGCACCCACTGTGTGAATGTCAGAGGGCAGGTCTGCTTCCGTAGTGTGGGTTCTGGCCCTTGAACTCAGATTGTCAGGCTAAATGGCAGCCACCTCACCCACCCTCACTTTATCTTCAGTGTTCTATATTTTGTAGATTGTTTAAGGAAATAAATATTTCCAAAGAGTTGGTTTGGGCTTAGCCGGCGAGCATGTGTTTGAAATATTCCAGAGTTCTGTGTTTCATTTGTGATTGGTCTCTATATCCTGTGAGACACTTTTGTCATATAAGAAAAAGGGAGTTGTAATGTTTGTTTTTCAAGATGCTGTACTCATAATAATATATGAACTGGTATTTTAATTTAAGCCTAAAACATAGAAGAAATTTATGAGTGAAATTGGATTATTGGGCTGGGGATATGTCTTGGAGATAGAGTGCTTGCCACGAGCTCATGAGGCCCTGGGTTTAAAACCCTTCACATACGTGCACACATGTGCACACGCCTGCGCTCTCTCTCATACACACACACACACACCAGTATTAGTGCTTTATTGAAGTGAAATTATGATTTTCCTGCTTTTATGCCCAGTTTTCACCTTTCTTGCTTAACTGTCTGGGAACTTATTTTCTACCCCTAACAACTTTTGTTTCATGAGAAAATTATATAAAAATGCTTCAACCTGGCTAGTGTTTTCAATATACTTTATAAACATACTCCCAGCCATGTTGGTGCACTTCAGTAATCCCAGTACTCAGGAGCAGAGGGAGGAAGGCCAGCTAGACTGTGTAACAAGACCTGCCTTGGGGAATATAACGCTTCAGTGCATTTAAGACTTCCAGAGTCTGTAGAGGCTCTGACTCCCTTCTCCAGTGAAACAGGGCTTTCCTTGTGAGCAGGTAAGAAGCATACATTTTTAAAAAATCTTTAAGTTTTCTTTCTGTGTGTATTATTTAGTGGAAATCATGAGCTATGTGACATGGAAGCTGAGCACATTTCCCGCAAATAGAGTGATTGGGATTGGATGCAATCTGGACTCACAGAGATTACAATACATTATTACCAATGTTTTGAAGGCACAGACTCCAGGCAAAGAAGTATGGGTTATTGGTGAACAGGGAGAAAACAAAGGTAAGTTTTAATTTTCCTGCCGATTCTCTGACGTCATGACATTCAGATCTATTCAGGACCTTAGAATTGTGGAGCTTAGTGAGTACCTTCTGTTAACGAGCCTTCATGAAGATCATTTGTTGTGCATGTATGTGTGTGTTAACACATATGTGTGCACATGTGTATGTGTGTGCTGCTGGGAATTGAACCTAGGGCCTCAAGCACCTGTTCTATGCATATATTTGTTTTCCTTGAGCTTAAGGAAAGACCCCCCCCCCGTCAAGTTTTATATTTTTAATTGAATTTTGGAGTCTAGAATTAATTTAAAAGTTTTAATATTCCATTTAAGCATTTCAATACCTGAAGCATTTAGAAGTCCCCGTTACTCTCTCCACATCCAACTTTTTGCTTTTAAGCTCAGTCTTCATTCCTAAATGCATGCTTCCTGTTTGTCTCTTTCTTTCTTTCCTTTTGCTTTTTTTTTTTTTTGAACAAATTTTCAGCCCATGGCCGTTTTAATGAGCTATTCGTTCTCTCCCTATCACAAAAGCATAACTTCAGCTCTCTGTATGAAAATAAAAGCAAAACCCTCTTCTTCTCCCAAAAGAAGGCTTTCTGTATCTGAGTTGCCTTCCTTTATGCCTTGTTGCATGCTGGGAAGCCAGGCTGCTCAGGAGACAGCACTGTGGCTACCCTGATGCATCTCTTCCACCCGTGTACAAAAATTTGAGTGTCTACGCTTACTCGCTGTGTCACTAGCTGCCGTGTAAAGGGAGGTGTGGAACACAGTCTGTTTTAGAGAGAAGGAAATACCAGCTATTTCAGCTGACAAGCTACAGGATACTCTTTGACTAAGTATTGGTGCCTAGTCATTTACACATGCGTTTGACATGGATTGGGATTATTAGGAAAAGAATAATACTGTTCCTGTAGTACCTCGAATGATGGTAAAGGCAGTTAGGTGTTGCAAGAATGGGTAGGATTTGAATAGTTAGTATAGACTGGTGAAAACATTCCAGGAATGGGAAGTCAGAACCAAGCAGAGGCATTAGCTAGGAACTGCCTGCAAATGGCCTTAAGATATGGATGCTCGGGCTGGAGAGATGGCTCAGAGGTTAAGAGCACTGACTGCTCTTTCAGAGGTCCTGAGTTCAATTCCCAGCAACCACATGATGGCTCACAGACATCTATGAGATCTGGTGCCCTCTTCTGGCTTGCAGGCATACATGGAAAGAATGTTGTACACATAATAAATAAATAAATCTTTTTTAAAAAAAAAAAGATATGGATGCTCATACATTCTCTTCAAGTATAGGATATATCATAATGTATTTAGCGAATCCCCTAAGAAGAGGAAGTTTTTCATGTATATTAAATATTGAGTTGAATAAGAGCATTTTAAAATGTATTAGGCCGTCAGTACTGTAGTTACTGCCTGACTTATTCCTCCGTCATAGTCTTTGTACATTCATATGTGTAGTAACTTACAGAACTCACAAAGAGAAAGTATATCTTCATCTAGTATGTCTAGGTGAAGGAAGAAAAATAATTTAATGGAATTTGAGTTCTTTAAACAAGAATAACTTAAAATCTCCTTTAAAAGTAGGTTTTTTTAAAAAAAATTATATGGCCTTTTATCTCAAATTAGGGATTTATAGCATGCCTCTTTTTAAAATTTATTTTATGTACTTTGCCATTTTGCCTGTATATATGTGTGAAGATATTGGATCCTGGAGTTACAGACAGGTGTGAGCTGCCATGTGGGTGCTGGGAATTAAACCCAGGTCCTCTGGATGAGTAGCCAATGCTCTTTTTTTTTTTTCAAGACAGGGCTTCTTTGTCCTGAAACTCACTTTGTAGACCAGGCTGATCTCGAACTCACAGAGATCCACCTGCCTTTGCCTCCCAAGTGCTGGGATTAAAGGCGTGCGCCACCACCGCCTGATTGAGCGCCTGTTTTCTAAATGTATAGAAGAGGAAATACACAGCCCAGTAAGGATGAGCGAGCTGCTGAGGGTGATTTATTCAATGAGAGCTGCTCTAAATTGATGCTAAAGATTTGCTCTTTCTTGCTGTCTGTTGCAATAGGGGTGGCAGGCCGCTTCCCACCACCCAGCTAGCTTTACCCAAAGTAATTACACGGAAACTGTATTCTTTTAAACACTGCCTGGCCCATTAGTTCCAGCCTCTTATTGGCTAACTCTCACATCTTGATTAACCCATTTCTAATAATCTGTGTAGCACCACAAGGTGGTAGCTTACCAGGAAGGATTTTAACCTGCAGCCAAACATCCATCTTGGAGAAGAGAGCTATGGCAACTGCCTGGAGAGGAGAGGCATGGCGTCTGGCTCACTGCCTTCTTCCTCCCCGAATTCTGTTCTGTCTACTCCACCTATCTAAGCTGCTGTCCTATCAAAGGTCAAGCAGTTTCTTTATTAATTAACCAATGAAAGCAACAGATAGATAGTAGACCCACCTACATCAGCTGTCACTTAATGTCCCAGAGTAAATACTCAGTGAACTGTTATTCCAAGATCATAATGAGTGAGAATCAGGAAGAGGAGACATGAAAGAGCACTTGGAAGTGGAGCAATGTTACGTCTTGGAACAGTTAAAAGAGCAGAATTGTCTAGGTAAAATTCTTCTCTTCTAGTTCTTCAGTGATAGCCACAGCCAGGGAGGAGTCCGAGGGTGAATAAGACCTTTCAGCTCTATTCCCTGCTTCCTTTCTCAGCTTCAGCTGCCCTTCTGCAGGTGTTTGGTGCTAGCCAGATGGCCACGTACAGTGGTTCACACACTCTGATTGTACCTGCTGCTTCCTTTCCCCGGACACCCATTCACTTAGCTAGTTCCTGCTTACCTCCATGACTGCGTAAGTGCCAGTTCTCCCAGAGCGAGGTTAGGTGAGTTTGTGCCTGAATTACAAGCAATAGCATAGTGTGTGCCCCTCGTGTCTGTTCTTCATACGATGGCCATCTCCTTCAGCTTGGAATGCTTTCCTATTTTGGATTGAATGAATGGTCCTGACACCCCCTTGTTTTGACCAAAAATCAGTCATTTGTTCTGCACCAAGTAAGATGGTTAGCAGAACATTTGCTCAAGAGCTGCTGTTTTTAAACTGTGGTATTGAAATCATACGTAAACACAGATCACTGCAGTGGTATTTCAGCAGTTCTGGGGCTGGGCCTCAGAACGGAATGTGTCATCTCTTTTGGCACAAGTTTGGTTTTGTGGGTAATAGTAAAGAACAATCTTCTAGACAGTATCTTACTGTCTCATATACCCAGCGTAGCCTTAAACTTGCTATGTGGCTGAGGATGACCTTTGAACTTCTGACCCTCCTTCCCTCACCTCCTTAGTGCCAGGATTGCAGTGTGTGTCACCAGTCAGTTATGATTACCCAGTATTGAGGGTCGGACCCAGGCCTTCATACATGTTGAGTGAGCCCTCTACTGACCAACCACAGCCTGTGTCCCTACGGGCATTTTTTTTTTTCGAGACAGGGTTTCTCTGTGGCTTTGGAGCCTGTCCTGAAACTAGCTCTGTGGACCAGGCTGGTCTCGAACTCACAGAGATCCGCCTGCCTCTGCCTCCCGAGTGCTGGGATTAAAGGCATGCGCCACCATTGCCCAGCGGCATTTTTCATTAAAATTTTTGGAGCCTGTTTTTGAAGATTGGGGACTAGAAGATAAAGATGATTAAATGCATTATTTTAAATGTCTTAACCAAAGATGGATCTACACCAGGATGTAAAGGGTTGGGCAGTAAAACAGAAAGTGAAGTAATTAAGTGAATCCTAACTTACTTTATCGTGTGATAAGCAGACCTGAACACTAAACATTTTCTCTCCTAACTTATGGGTCAGGGCTTGTAGAGAGGAAAGATCGAAGGATGTGAGATGCACGAGACAGAGAGCTGGCTTGGTGGTCAAGAGCACTTGTTGCTCCTGCAGAGGGCTTGGGTTTGCCTCTGAGCACCACATGGTACACAACTGCCTGGAACTCCAGTTTCTGGGGCTCTGCTGCCCTCTTCTGGCCTCTTCCAGCATAGCTTCCATGCACACACATAGATACAGGCATGAAGTAAGGAAATCATAAAATAAAGGATCGGAGAGATGGCTTATGGGTTAAGAGCACGGGCTGCTTTTCTAGAGGTCCTGTATTCAATTCCCAGCAACCACATGGTGCCTCACATCCATCTATAATAGTGGGATCTGATGCCCTGTTCTGTCATGCATGCATGCAAATAGAACACTCATGTGCATAAATAAACAAAATTTTTAAAAATTTGAGTACAATAAAAGGATATGAGATTCCTATTTATTCATCTGCCCCATCTTAACTATGCAGATTGGCAGCAATACTCATAATTTTCTGGTTATTTTGTTTTCTTTGTGAATCTTTTTTCATACCTATCTTGCTATTTTATTTATTCTTTTAAGGTCTATAATACTGTATTTCAGTTACCAAGTGTTCTCCATATCCCAGTTTTTAAATATTGTTAACATATTAAAACTTAAGTAAATAATTCTTATATAAGTCTTCAAGGGGGACTGGAGAGATGGCTCAGAGGTTAAGAGCACTGGCTGCTTTTCCAGGGGTCCTGAGTTCAATTCCCAGCAATCACATGGTGGCTCACAACTATCTGTAATGAGATCTGACATCCTCCTCTGGCGTGCGGGCATACATGGAGGCAGAATGTTGTATACATAATAAATAAATAAATCTTAAAAAAAAAAAGTCTTCAAAGTAGATCATTTTAAAATTCGTGGGCTCAGCATGGTGGTATACACCTTTAATCTCAGCACTCAGAAAGCAGAGGCAGGAGGATCTCTGGGAGTTCAAGGCCAGTCTGGTCTATAAAAGGAGTTCCAGGCAAGCCAATGCTATACAGTGAGCCCTTGTCTCAAATAAAAACAAAAGAACAACAAAAACACAGTGAAAATAAATAAAAAAAGTTTCTTAGCCTCCCATACGTATGTATATTTTTTGTGTCGCAGTTCTTTGGTTTGTGTTCTTTTCTACTTGCAAAACAGGACTTAGGTTTTGCTGCTGTTGTTTTGGAGGTGGAGACAACAGTGGGTAGAGTACAGTGTTGGAGCGAGCCCAGAGCGAGCAAGGATCTAGGTTCAGTCTCAGTGGTATAAGAACAGCTTGACGCTTCCCATGGTTGTCACCCCAACTATTACAAGTCTGTTTTGTTGTTGTCACTCTTGTTACCAAATATAACGTTGAATGGTGTGTGAGGTTGATTGTCCTCAGCACCATAATAGAAAATATACTGGAGGGGCTGGAAAGGTGGCTCAGAGGTTAGGAGCACTGGCTGCTCTTCCAGAGGACCAGGGTTCAATTCCCAGCACCCACATGGCAGATCAAAACTGTCTGTAACTCCAGTTCCAAGGGATCTGATGCCTTTACATCAATGCACATAAAAAAAAAGCTAAATAAATTATTTTTTTAAAAAAGAAAATATGTGGAGGGGACACAAAAGAGGAGCAAGTGGTCCCTGCGCCAGGGCAGCTTATACTCAGTCAGCTTGAAAAAGGGTGGCGTTTGCATATTGCCAAGTCCCTTGTGGCTGACACAACACTAAATAGTCTGTTTTTGTTGGTGTTTGTTTGTTTTTAATACAGATTAGAGTATGTGAATTTTAGACATACTCTCCTATTTAGATACTCTCCTATAACCAAATGTATTTTGCTTGCCTACTCTGAACAGATTTATATTAAAAAGTGTCCTTATGGAGATGAATACTGGAATGGTTCAAATGTTACAGTTTCAGGCCAGTATTAAAAAGCAGCACAGATAGCCAGTTTGTGGGCACTTCGGATGCAGTGCCTTGCAGTGCATGCTTGGCATAGGCAGAAAGAAGGTTTCAAGTCCCATCATGCTCCAAAAGTGCAGCTTGTTTGTGCTGAATCAGATTGATTGGCTTCTGAACACAATGGTTAGAGGATGCAGGTAGCCTGGAACTCATTGCTTCTCCTACGATCGTAGAAATTCCATCCCAAAAGAGGTCACCACGTTTTTCCTTGAATTAGTCAGCTTGCTTCCCAGCAGAACAAATGTCAAGTGCTTGCAGCATTTGAAAGCCTATTATCTGTAGCCGCCCAAGGAAGCAGCTCTTGTTGCCTGAACAGTAGGGTGGCCCCCGTGGATCTTTGCTGATGAGTGAGAACAGTGTAGACTTTAGGGATTACATTTTTAGGAGATTTAGGGTCAAAATCTTTCTTGTCCCAGCACAGACAGTTCAGTGCCGTCTGTTGTTAGGAGGATGGGACACTACAAAAAGATGGATCCTTTGGTTGTCACACCATTTTTATTTTGTAATCCGTGTTTCACTGTGTAGCCCTGGCTGTCCTGAAACTCGTGTAGATCAGGCGGCTTTGAACTCAAGATCTGTCCTCCAGCATCTGCCTCCTGATGGCTGCATTTAAAAGCGTCAGCCATCACTCTCGGTCATTTGTCACATCATTGGCAAATATAACTAATTCTTTGTTTATTTTAGTGTGCTCATGGAGTGGCCGCGACGGGGTAATGAGTCATAGCTCTCTGGCACAGCTGTCCAGCAGGTAATGGTGAAAATTTTCGAATATCTAGCTAAGTCACGAGCTTCGTAGCTGATGCGGTAGCTCTTTCCACAGCAGGTTCTTACCAGACTTCTGTAAGCAGGACTAGCTAACAGGAAGGCTGGAAGTGCAAGGACTGTGTGGTCCTGGACTTCTAGGAGTGCTTTGCAAGCTCGTTTAGACATTTAAAGGAAAGGCAAACAGTGGTCCCTCCTTTACGTCTAATCATCCAATGCTAAGTTAATGGGAAAAAGGACTTATCTCTACGAGCACACAGAAATGGATACAGACTAAGTACACATGAACACATTTGGGAATCAGTGTAAGATCAAAGTTTCCCAGTCTTGTCAGAGGGGGTGCAGTGCACACACTTTATCTGGAGGCCCCCTGGGGTTTGTCCTGGCCGTTGGGTTTACACACAGATTATTTTCAGACCCCTTTTATTTCACCATCACAAAGAGTACTCCCCTCAGGTCTGGAGAGGTCGAAAAGTGTAGATTTGTAGATCTTCCACTTGTGAGTTTTAGCACATGTGACAGTTGGAAAGAGAAGTGCGCAAGGTAGTGCATTATTGCATTATAACTTCTATTTTGTTGCTGTTTGGTTTAGTTTTGTGGGGGGGGGTTGGGTTTATTTATTTTTTATTTTTTTTGGTTTTGGTTTTTTTAAGACAGGGTTTCTCTGTAGCTTTGGAGCCTGTCCTGGAACTAGCTCTTATAGACCAGGCTGATCTCAAACTCACAGAGATCCCCCTGCCTCTGTCTCCCAAGTGCTGGGACTAAAGGCATGTGGCACCACTGCCCAGCTTGGTTTAGTTTTGATGGCACTGGAAATTAAATTAGAGCCATGGATGTGCTAATCATGTGTTTGCCACTGGATTATGCTCCCTGTATTTTTTAAATGGAATAAAATTAAATAGTTTTAATTTGCATACTTTTTTTCCCAAAAAAAAGTATACCTATTATAAACTTCAAAAACCACTGCTGTTAATAGAGAGTAAAAAACTGAGATAATTCCATCTTCTAGAAACAACCAGTTTAACATCCACATGCTCCAACTTTGTCATATTTCTGCACATACAGCGTTCATTTTTAATAGATTATACTATCTGTACCATCCTGCAGCTTGATTAATTGTAAAATTAAATATCCCTCTGTATTGTACATGTAAGCCTGCCTTCTTTTTTAGGATTTATTTTTGTTTTAGATAGATAGATAGACAGACAGACATAAAGATTTGCATGTATGTATGTGCATTATATGCGTGTCTGACACAGGCAGACAGACAGACAGACAGACATAAAGATGTGCATGTATGTATGTGCATCACATGCGTGTCTGACACAGGCAGACAGACAGACAGACAGACATAAAGATGTGCATGTATGTATGTGCATCACATGTGTGTCTGACACAGGCAGACAGACAGACAGACATAAAGATGTGCATGTATGTATGTGCATCACATGCGTGTCTGACACAGGCAGACAGACAGACATAAAGATGTGCATGTATGTATGTGCATCACATGCGTGTCTGACACAGGCAGACAGACAGACAGACAGACAGACAGACATAAAGATGTGCATGTATGTATGTGCATCACATGCGTGTCTGACACAGGCAGACAGACAGACAGACAGACATAAAGATGTGCATGTATGTATGTGCATCACATGCGTGTCTGACACAGGCAGACAGACAGACAGGCAGACATAAAGATGTGCATGTATGTATGTGCATCACATGCGTGTCTGACACAGGCAGACAGACAGACAGACATAAAGATGTGCATGTATGTATGTGCATCACATGCGTGTCTGACACAGGCAGACAGACAGACAGACATAAAGATGTGCATGTATGTATGTGCATCACATGTGTGTCTGACACAGGCAGACAGACAGACAGACATAAAGATGTGCATGTATGTATCTGCATCACATGCGTGTCTGACACAGGCAGACAGACAGACAGACATAAAGATGTGCATGTATGTATGTGCATCACATGCGTGTCTGACACAGGCAGACAGACAGGCAGACATAAAGATGTGCATGTATGTATGTGCATCACATGCGTGTCTGACACAGGCAGACAGACAGACAGACAGACATAAAGATGTGCATGTATGTATGTGCATCACATGTGTGTCTGACACAGGCAGACAGACAGACAGACAGACAGACAGACATAAAGATGTGCATGCATGTATGTGCATCACATGCGTGTCTGACACAGGCAGACAGACAGACAGACAGACAGACAGACATAAAGATGTGCATGCATGTATGTGCATCACATGCGTGTCTGACACAGGCAGACAGACAGACAGACAGACATAAAGATGTGCATGTATGTATGTGCATCACATGCGTGTCTGACACAGGCAGACAGACAGACAGACATAAAGATGTGCATGTATGTATGTGCATCACATGCGTGTCTGACACAGGCAGACAGACAGACAGACAGACATAAAGATGTGCATGTATGTATGTGCATCACATGCGTGTCTGACACAGGCAGACAGACAGACAGACATAAAGATGTGCATGTATGTATGTGCATCACATGTGTATCTGACACAGGCAGCAGCTAGACAAGGATGTCAGATCCCTTGGAACTAGAGTTTTAGGCAGTTGTGAGTCACCAGTTAGGTCCTGGGCACCATCTTGTAAAAATACGTTCTTTATCAGCTTCAGGAGAGGTGACTTTATTTCCAGGCTGATCACCTAAAGCAGCAGGACTGCTGTGTCAGCACCAGCAGCTCTGGTGTAAGACAAGGGAGTTTAGTCTTTTAGCACATCCATGGCTCTGAGCTTAATCCCCAGCGCCATCCAAACAGAACAACTCGGAGTTGTTATCAGTGCAGATAATTACCTCACTCGCTGCTCTTCCCGGCTGTTACCTGCGCTAAGAGATCTACAGTTTCCTACCACACCAGCCTTGGGAGCATTGCTGCTGATGGTGAAATAACAAATGGTCTGAAAACAGCTGGCTCCTCCCTCCTTTTCTGTGATCCTTGCTCGTGTGTGTGTGTGTGTGTGTGTGTGTGTGTGTGTGTGTGCGCGCGCGCGCGCACATAGGTGCTCGAAGAGGGCGTCTGCTTCCCTGGGCTGGAGCTACTCACAGTTGTGAGCCTCCTGACTGGGTTGCTGTCTTCTGGAAAAGACCTCCCGGCCCTCTCCGGCGCCAGCCTTATTTTCCTATGGTGTGGCAGGCATGTGGCAACCATTTATTTAACCAGCCCCCTTTTGGTAAGTTTTTCTCAAATATAGCAAACATGCTCATATGTATACCTTTGCACACTTGAGCCATAGGACAAAGGATGAGAAAAGGGGCTTCTAGATCAGTGCTGCCGGTTTTCCCTGACATTGCTTTATGGTCTGAGCAGTGATTTTTTTGTTTTGTTTTCTTTTCCGAGACAGGGTTTCTCTGTGGGGTTTTTTTTGTTGTTGTTGTTTGTTTGTTTGTTTGTTTGTTTGTTTTGAGCTTGCCCTGGATCTAGCTCTTGTAGACCAGGCTGGCCTCGAACTCACAGAGATCTGCCTGCCTCTGCCTCCCGAGTACTGGGATTAAAGGCATGCGCCACCACCGCCCAGCATCTGAGCAGTGATTATGGGAATGCTTTCTTCATACAATCCCCAAAACTAGTCCTTTTTATCATTGTCACGTTGAACTGATGTTGGTATGGCTGTTTGTTCAGTTGTTTTTGTTGTTGTGAGACAGTTAGTCCTGGCTAGCCTGGAACTCCTTTGCCTTCCAAGTTCAGGAGTTAAGGGTGTGCGCCACCACACCCAGCTGATACTTACTGTTTAGCTATTGTTTAGTTCAACATTCAAGATGGTAAGCATCTTTTACTTATTTATTTGTTTGTTTTGTTTTTTGAGACATGCCTTCTCTGCCTCCCTAGTGCTGGGATTAAAGGCATGCGCTACCACCGCCCAGCCAGTAAGCATCTTTTTATGCTATGGGAGTATTTGTGTTTTCTCTGTGAACTGTGGCTCTCAAATCTTAGGAAAAGCTTAAGTCATAATTGTATTATTGGCAAGCCTTAAATTTTCTGAGATTCTCTCTCTCTCTCCCTTAATCTAGAGCCATGGAACTGTTGAGGGTAAAGGGTCAGAGATCTTGGTCTGTTGGCCTGGCTGTGGCTGACCTGGTGGACACTATTGTAAACAATAAAAAGAAGGTGCATTCTGTATCAACTCTAGCAAAGGTAACTTATTTTCACTCACGTGTTTTAGACTTTGGTATCTCTGACAGTAATCATATAAAGTCAGCAACACTGCTGTGTCAGCACCGGCAGCTTTGGGGCGAGCACAGAACGTGCTTTTCTGTGTGAAGTCTGCAGTTTGTCCTTTCACTCCCATAGAACTTGGGGGACGTCGCGAAGGTGTTCATATAACCTATTTTCCTGAGCCAGCAAGTCACCCCGGCATTTTTCTGCCTTTTACCAGAACATAAATTTTACCCAAAACATAGCTAACATGAAGCATAGATGCTGGGGCAGATTTTCTTGAACACCAGGAGGGAAATAACAACATGGAAAGAAAACGTAAAATAACTTGCAGTGTGTGGCTGGGCCCAAAGCCCATGATGTATTTCCCCAAGGACTCTATTGTCCATCTCTGGATTAGCCTCCAGCCTGCTGACTATACTGCACACAGCTGGTTTACCTTCCTGCAAAGAGGACATCCATGACCAGGCTCCTCCTATCAGACATTTTCTGGAGCCATAACTTGAGTTTAGAAAATCAGTAAGCAAATTAAGTTGAACTTGTATCACTTTATTTTTTGTTTTTATTTTTTTTAAGATTTATTTATTTATTATGTCTATAGTGTTCTGCCTGTGTGTATGCCTGCAGGCCAGAAGAGGGCATCAGATCACAACAAATAGTTGTGAGCCACCATGTGGTTGCTGAGAACTGAACTCAGGACCTCTGGAAGAATAGCCAGTGCTCTTAACCTCTGAGCCATCTCTCCAACCCCATCACTTTGTAATATAACTAGAAAAGCAAGGGAGAATTCTTTTCATTATCTTTTTAAATTTGTTTTTATTGTTTTTAATTATCTGGCAAGGGTTGTGCATGTAAATGCAGGTGCCTATGAAGGCTATGACTCCTGAAGCTGGTTCCAGGCAGTTGTGAGCTGCCTGACATGGGTGCTGGGAATCACTCCGATCCTATGGAAGAGCAGTACACACTCTTAACTGCTGAGCCATCTCTACAGCCCCATGATTTTAATATCTTGTGTAATTCAGCTTTATTATAATCCCAACTTTTTCATTTCAGGGATGTTATGGTTTAGATAATGAAGTGTTCTTAAGTTTGCCGTGCATCCTGGGAACCAGTGGAGTATCCGAAGTCATCAAAACCACTGCAGGAGAAGACACAATGACTGAGACACTCCAAAACAGTGGATCTTCAATCCACAGTCTCCAGCAACAGCTGAAACTCTGATGCAAAACAGTGGATCTTCAATCCACAGTCTCCAGCAACAGCTGAAACTCTGATGCAAAACAGTGGATCTTCAATCCACAGTCTCCAGCAACAGCTGAAACTCTGATGCCCGAGTGCAGTCACCTGACGGGGGAAGCTTATTTAATTTTGCCAGCACACACAGTTTTGGCAACTTCCACAACTTGGTATTTCACAAACAGCCTTTATAGTAGGCGACGTCTTAGTTAGCTTTATAATTTGAATCCTTGAGAAGTTAGAGAACGGGAAAGGATCTGATTTCTTTTGGAGTTTCTGTTGTTTAGAGCTGTCACTTTAAACCGCACGTCCTAACTTCAGCACACCTAGCACTTTAGAGATGTTCTGAAATAAGTGCACTCCTTAAAGGTTCTTACTGGACACTCATTCTGAGCATGGTAAGCTGAAGGTAGGGTGGGCACAGAGCCTGTGGCAGGTGTACGTTCAGAGACTCCTAGCTTCACGGCTCTATTTGCTTCTTCTGCACCATCCCACTGATGATAACGGCAAAGCATTTTACTTTCCTTCTTCAAGTTCACCTACATTAGAAAGGATTTTAGTATGCTTTAAATTAGTTAAATGGAATTTTAAATATATGAAAAATAATATATGATTTAATTTCTAATGATACTTCCTTTCTGAAAATTTCTAGAATAACCTCTTCTTGGGCTAAAAGATCTCAAATGTATCTTAAAACTGTATTAGTAGAAAAAGAGAGATGCGTGTTTCTATAAAGAGTAACAGCCGAGCAGTATATTTTGAAAGCAAAATGTGAGGCTTTCATAAAAAAACATTGTTCTTAAAGGAGAGAGGCCTTGGTCGTCTGCTTCCGAGCGAGCCTTAGTCACCCCAGAAGAAACAGTTGTGACTGTCTGTGCCTTGGTGGTTGGTCAGTCAGTATTAACATGTGGAGCGACACACGGTGGCTGTTGTATCACACAGGTAACAACTCCTAGATAGTGAGCTCTTATTTGTAGAGTCCTGACATTGACTGGCCATCACAGAGGAGGAGACGGAACTTTGGTGTCTACGACTGCTGGGTTCTAAGGATGGTGCTTACCTGTACAACCTCCACTTTTATAGGGAGCAACAGAGGCTATGGGGAAGCCTAGAGGCCTAAAAGCCAAGCTGTCACAAGACACTAGCTAAAGTTGAGGCTTGGGATACTATGAAAGAATTACTTTTATTTTCATATGGGTGCTTTCTTGTTGTTTTTGTTTTTTTTTTTTAAACAAAGTCTTTATGTAGTCCTAGCTGTCTTGTAGACCAGGCTGGCCTCGAACTCACATAGATCTGCCTGCCTCTGCCTCCCTAGTTCATAGATTAAAGGCATGCATCACCACACCTGGCTATATTTTTTTAAAATATTTTTTTTTTACAAAGATTGATTAGCCTGACCCCCAGAGACTCAGCAGATAGCAGAGGTGGAATGTGCCAAAGACGGTGTTTGTTTATTTAGTCGTTCAGCTAGCGTTTATTAGGAGCTTCTCACAACAGAAAACACTATTGCTGAACATGCCTAGATTAGGGACAAGCCCTGGTACTTAGGGATTAGCAGAGGAACCCAATAACAAAATAGCACATGAATGCAAGTGTGCTAAGTAGAGTGAAATCCAGAGTGTTTGGAATCCAGGCTGCTCGGAGAGGAGCTCAGGGGCTTGTGAGGTGGAAAGGAGACATGCCACTGGGTACTTACACTGACAAGTGAATGTTGAGGAAGCAAAAAAGTAACGTATTAAGGAAGACTTCCTCCAGACTCAACTGGGCTAAACCTTGGCCGTACAGTCTAGGGATGTAGCTCAGTAGTTAGGTGCTTGCCTGATGAGAATAGGGCCCTGGGTTTGGTCCCAGAACCACAAAATTTGAGGTTGTTGAGGAGGTAAGCATTAGCTCTTTGTAAATGATTTTGGTGTTGTTTTTACTGAACTTTTATACGAGATAGGAAGGTAAAGTTGAAACAACAATTTCTTATGTGGTTTAGTGTTTTCTACTAGGTGATAACTAATTAGGAATTCAGTAATTCCTAAAATAGAATTTCTTTTCTCTTTATTTGTTTTTGGTTTATTTTTGTTGGTTGTTACAGGAGGGCCGCTTGTTGGTTCCCAGCTGCTCAGCCCCAAAATAATCACACAAAAACTATATTATTTACAATACTGTTTGGCCAATAGCTTAATCATATTTCTAGTTAACTCTTTTTTTTTTAATTTATTTATTTGCTATGTATACACGACATTTTGCCTCCATGTATGCCTGCAGGCCAGAAGAGGGCGCCAGATCTCATTACAGATGGTTGTGAGCCACCATGTGGTTCCTGGGAGTTGAACTCAGGACCTCTGGAAGAGCAGCCAGTGCTCTTAACCACTGAGCCATCTCTCCAGCCCCTCTGGTTAACTGTTATATCCGAAACTAGCCCATCTCTATTAATCTGTGCGTCACCACGAAGTCATGACCTACCCGCAGTTTCAGCACGTCTGTCTCTGGCAGGCTACATGGCTTCTCTCTGCCTCCTTTCTCCCAATATTCAGTTTAGTTTTCCCTGCCTATCTACCCTATCAGGTCAAGGCAGTTTCTTTATTAACCAGTGGTATTCACAGCATACAGAGGGGAATCCCACATCAGTTGGTTGATTGGTTTTTCTAGACAGGGTTTCTCTGTCTAACTGCTCTGGCTATCCTGGAACTCACTTTGTAGATAAAGTTGGCCTCAAACTCAGAGATCTTTACTACTGCTGCTTCCCGAGTGCTGGGAGTGAAGGCATTTGCTGCCACCACCTGGCTCTCTTCATTTGTTTTTGAGACTAGTCTTTAACTCTCAGCAATCATCCTGCCTGAGCCTCATGAGTGCTGGCTACCATACCCAGCAACAATTTTTGTTTTGTTTTATTCTGTTTGTGGGGCTCTAACCCAGAGTCTGATGCATGTGAGGCCAGGCCTCCAGGGTCTGATGCATGCTAGGCAAGTCTTCCAGGTTCAGATGCATGCTAGGCCAGGCCTCCAGGGTCTGATGTATGCTAGGCAAGTCTTCCAGGTTCAGATGCATGGTAGGCCAGGCCTCCAGGGTCTGATGTATGCTAGGCAAATCTTCCAGGTTCTGATGCATGCTAGGCCAGGCCTCCAGGTTCTGATGCATGCTAGACAAGGCCTCCAGGGTCTGATGTATGCTAGGCCAGGCCTCCAGGGTCTGATGTTTGCTAGGCCAGGCCTCCAGGTTCTGATGCATGCTAGGCCAGGCCTCCAGGTTCTGATGCATGCTAGGCAAGTCTTCCAGGGTCTGATGTTTGCTAGGCCAGGCCTCCACCATTGTACTTCATCTGGAACTTAGTTTCTAAAATCTAATAACTCTCTTGAACAATAAGCCAGCTGCAGGATGTTATAATAGCAAACTGCCAAGAACTATGTTGATTATAGAAAAAATGCCAATACAACAGATATTTATTGAGCACTCACTCTTATTCCAAGTATTTTGTTAGAGTTTGATCTCCACCTCAGAAGGCCATAGTACAGAAGTCTTTGTCTGTTTGCACATTCCTCCATTAAGTCAGGTGGCGCCATCACCACCTCATCTTGGTTTGGTGGTTAGTAATCACAGCGCGTCTGTCTGGTAACTTTAATTTTCTCCACGTGTTTTAATGGTTTAGATGATGTTGACTTGATTAACCTTTATATTCTGTCGGTCTCAAAACCGGGGGCAGTGTACAGTGTTTGCGTATTTCTCACCTGAGGCACGAGCGCAGGTAATATCTACCGTCCGATAAGTTTCAGTCCCACATTGTTATAAATCCTGATTTTTTTTAACCTTATTATGTTCTGAAATTCAAGCTTTCATGAAAGACTAGTGAAAGATTTATTTCCTCATTTAAAAAAGATACTTTGTTAAGTAAAATGGTTTTTCTTGCCATCTGACAAGGAGGGGGCAACTCTAATTTTTCCAAAATCATGCAGTACCTCATGGTTTTTATCGGGGCTTGGATTAAAATGCTTTTTGATACTGTAAGGTTTATTTTTCATTTTCTAGTTTACATTGTTTTCCTTAAATATAAAAAATAATGAACAAAATAAATTTTGACTTTAAAAGGACTGTGTGATGTCTGATTAAGTGAAAGAAAATACATTCAGATTAAAAGTTTTTTTTAATGTCATTCCCAGAGCACCCACATCCGTTATTCCTTCAAGTGCAAAATGAAAAAAAAATGACCTTTATCAGTTGTTTACAAATTATATATATATATATTATACTAGATTATATATTAGATATAAATTCTAATATATCAATATATATTAGATAGAGATATATATTAGAGAACTTTTGAAAAGAACTGGAGTGATGGCTCAGAGATTTAGAACACTGACTGCTCTTCCAAAGGTCCTGAGTTCAATTCCAAGCAACCACTGGTGGCTCACAACCATCTGTAATGAGATCTGGTGCCCTCTTCTGCCCTGCAAGCATACATGCATACAGAATACTGTATACATAATTTTTTTTTTTTGTTTTTTTCGAGACAGGGTTTCTCTGTGGCTTTGGAGCCTGTCCTGGAACTAGCTCTTGTAGACCAGGCTGGTCTCGAACTCACAGAGATCCGCCTGCCTCTGCCTCCCAAGTACTGGGATTAAAGGCCACCACCGCCCGGCTATATATACATAATTTTTTTAAAAAAAATCCAAAAAAGAAAACTTTTGGAACAGGGTAATGTGACATAGCTTATGCAGGACTTGATCTTTTAATTATCTTGCCTCGGGCTCCCAAGGACTTCAGTTATAGACTATAGATCACTACACCTAGTTCAGAAAACTTCTAAAGCCGTGTAGCGCTTAGCACTCCTCCAGGCTGTACAAACAGTTGCTCCAGTTAAAGGCATTTCTAAGTAAGCTACAACTTTAAATAAGAAGTTTAAAATCGTGCTTTTGGGGTGTTTTTAAAGAGATTGTGGGGGGCAGGAGGCAGTCGGTGTCCTCATCCTGTTCTTTGAAGCATGGTCTCCTCCTGCACCTGGGACTCAATGTCTTTACCAGGCTGGATTCCAGAAAGCCCCAGTGATCCTCCTTCACCCCTCTTGAGGCCAGTGCTTAGATGTTACAGGTATTGGTAGGAATGCCCTGTGATAGCTGAACTCTGGCCCTCATACCTGTAGAACAAGTGCTTTTAACCACTAAGCCATCTCTCCAGCTCCCAGCCACACTTAAACAACTTGAAAACAGTGGGTACAGCAGGGTAGATGGAGGTTTGACTACAACTAACCATTACTCAAGGCTGATGTTACCTATTTGAATGGGCTATGCTGACACATACCACTCACTTTCACTTTAGACCTCTTTTGCCCATGACTTTTGGCTTAGAAAGGAATTGATACCATTGCACTGTGTGCTGAGGTCATCTAGCTGTATCATCTTTCCCTACTGTCTATCCTAGGCTTTATATTGTAAATGACTGTAATTATAAAATTAATAAGGATTAATGGTTGATATGTCACTAACTTTTTTTTTTTTTTTTTTTGTGGCTGGAGAGACAGCTGTGGGTGCTGGGAACCGAACTCTTTATATTTATGGTTGTGAGCCTAGCCTTTAACGGCTGAGCCATCTCTCCAGCCCTCACTAACTTTTTTTTAAAAAAAAGATTATGGGTGTGCCGGGTGGTTGTGGTACACACCTTTAATCCCAGCATTTGGGAGGCAGAAGCAATCAGATTTCTGTGAGTTCAAGGCCAGCCTGGTTACAAGAGCTAGTTCCAGGACAGGCACCAAAGCTACAGAGAAACCTTGTCTCGAAAAAACAAAAATAAATAAATAATAAATAAAGATGATGGGTATGAGTGCTTTGCCTACATTGTGTATATGTGCACCACCTACATGCCTGATGCCCACTGGGATCCCCTGTAACTGGGAACCTAAACCTAACCCGCAGCCAGATCTACAGGTGTTCTTAGCTGCTGAGCCATCTCTCCAGTCCCTATAACAAGCTTTTATTGGAAATAGAAATTTAGCTTAGCTTGAATACCACCTCTTGAATTCTGCAAAGTAATTAAGATCTGAAGATTGGCCTTGTGATGAATCAGCCTACCTCCATCTTAGGCTTGAAAGCCATCTTTTTGTTGTTGGTTTTCGAGACGGAGTTTCTCTGTGTAGCTTTGTAGCCTGTCCTAGAATTCAGTGTAGACTAGGTTAGCCTTGAATTAACAGAGATCGCCCTGCCTCTGCCTCCGGAGTGCTGGGATTAAAGGCATGTGCCACCACTGTCTGGCTTGAAAGCCATTTTTTTAAACTTTATGGGACCTTTCTTTTTTTTAATATTTTTTAATATTTACTTATTTATTTATTATGTATATAATATTCTGTCTGTGTGTACGCCTGCTGGCCAGAAGAGGGCACTAGACCTCATTACAGATGGTTGTGAGCCACCATGTGGTTGCTGGGAATTGAACTCAGGACCTTTGGTAGAGCAGGCAATGCTCTTAACCTCTGAGCCATCTCTCCATTTTTTTTTTAAATTTATTTATTATGCATACAATATTCTGTCTGTGTGCATGTCTGCAGGCCAGAAGAGGGCACCAGACCTCTTTACAGATGGTTGTGAGCCACCATGTGGTTGCTGGGAATTGAACTCAGGACCTTTGGAAGAACAGGCAATGCTCTTAACCACTGAGCCATCTCTCCAGCCCCCATCTCTCCATTTTACAGTAAAGACAAACTAGGTTCATTCCTAGTTATGATTAAATCTCTCTCAAGGATTGGGCTTGACTCACCTGTAACCTTTGAAAGACACCAGTTTAGCTGCTGTAACGCCATTTTGCAAGGCTTTAAAACAAACAAGTAAAGTTCAGGGTAAGTTCAGTACTCCTAGGCTGCCAAACAGGATATCTGCGGTCAGATATCTGGCCTAGGAGGGGAATGAAGAGGTCTGGGGAAGACCGCAGACGCCCTAGATAGAGCCTAGTCAGCTGTTATAAGACGTTTGTGTCCCCAGCCAAGAGCCAGGGGGTTTGTCCTCAAGTAAACCCCTTGCCGCATTTGAAAGGACCAATGGGATCCCTGTAACCATGCGTCTAGGCCTGCTTCTGCCGCCCGTTTCCATATAAAAGACCCCCTGCCTAGCCTGAGGGCGCGCAAGTCTTCCGAATAGACTCTGCGGCCCTCAGGTACCTGTGTACTCTCAATAAAGAAACT